ACAAAGAATGATGACAACAATGGACAACAGCAACAAAAATAAACAATTATAAAAAGTCATACTAAAAGTCATACTAAAAAGAGCTTAAAGTTGGAAGATTGACTCAAGAGGATTACTGCCGTATTAAAACAACTCCTCTCTCAAAATATTGTACAGTGTTTCACACAAACAATGTTTTAAAGACCTTGTGCCGTAAATATTTTTACATTACGTGGTTACCCACACAGAATTCTGTTTTTTTCTTCTTCTCAAAATCATTACCGGTACATTTATTTCACTCTAATAGTGTAATGTGAATCTTACAATGGTGGAAAGGTTTATAAACATGAACTGCTATTAAATTTTGAATATTTGGATTGGTTTCAAAACAACAGCAATCCACTGGTTGTCCCTGCTTGAACTACCGGGAGACCTTGGCTCATCGATTTACCGTAATTGCAGGTGCATAAGTTGCTACTTTTTTTTTTTTTTTCAGCTTTGGACTCTGTGGTTTATACACAGGAGAGGCTAATTTGTGTACTTTTATTATAATTTTAATTTTATTTTAACAAGCTTCCTGCTGCTGAATAATATTTTTCTTTGATGCACCTGGGCGCTCTTGTACTGTTCACACATAAACAAATGCAGTTTCTGCTCTGCCGGAAGTCACGCACGTACCGTATTTTTCGGCCCATAAGGCACACCAGATTATAAGGCGCAATATCAATGAACGGGTCTGTTTTCATACATAAGGTGCACCGGATTATAAGGCACATTAAGCAAAATAAAACAGTCAGATAAGTCAAAATTTATTCAACTCATTCACAATAACTCTCAACATTGTTTAGTTGTACCACATAAAATCAGTTCAAGGTCAGTAAGCACAACCAGAATTAAAACATAAGGCTCACTGTCAATTTTTGAGAAAATTAAAGGATTTTAAGCGCACCTTACAGTCCGAAAAGTACGGTAATTCATGCAAAGCGTCATGGGACGTAGGCATAAGATCATTGGCTGCCCAACACCAACTCTACTTGGGGGTGGGTGTCATTCCCCAATCTATTACGGAAGCACGAGCTGGTGTACTTCCGGGTCGCACGGATCGTGGTTGTTTATGAATAAAATTGTCTTAATTTACTTAAAAAAGTACGTGCTCTATCTCGACCGATCTTTATGTAGCTAATTTATGCCACTATTTCCATTCGGATCGCCGTTGTTTATGAATAGAAACTGTCTTAATTTACTTAGAAAAGTACGTGCTCTATCTCCACCGATCTTGATGTAGGTAATTTATGCCACTTGTATTTCTGTTACAAATCATTGGTTAAGCTGATATGCGACGCATTAGACCTGACCCCCAGCCTGGGCTGAATGAGAAAAACCCTGTAAGATATAGAATTAATTATTTCCATGGTGAAACAGCGCTGCTCAGAGGTGAAGCTGCATAAATATGTCAATGATTTTAACGGAAATACGAGTGACGTAAATTAGCAACATGAAAATTGGTGGGGAGAGCACATCCTTTTCTAAATAAATTAAGACAGTTCTTATTCGTAAATGAAAGGCGATCCATGCGACCCAGTATTCCTTTTAGCGCATGCGCAAATGAGCTACACTGCGGATCAGGTTCCCTAACAGATTGGGGAACCACAGTGGGTTTTTATGACACACAGAAGAAATGCTACAGGTAATCACGTACCTTACCGCTTGCTCATGGTTCCAATTTTGCTACCCATAATTCCACTCTGTCATCGCGTGACCAGAAGTCTAACCTTAACGATCAATGAGGTACCCTCATTGAGTTACGTCAGAATTTGTCTATTTCTTCAAACTGAGGTCACTAAAGAACAATTTACTGCATGTAAGATATTGTTTTAACTTTTCAAAACAACATTTAAAATTTGAACTATATCTTCAACACAGAGAAAACTAGTGACTTCTTGAATCATATCAAAATTATTGTTTGGATTAAGCTAACTGATCAGTGAAGCTAACAATGAACTAAGCTTAGTTATTATGTAAAGTTAAATAAAACAAAGACGGCAGATAACTTCATAATATACCAGTAGTAAGCGTTGTTGGTTTGAAACCGTTAAATTATAATGTTTTCACTAAATTAAAAAGAAATTGGCCAAGAAGTGCTGCATTAAAGACATAAACCCAATATCTTGTGCAGTTAGCTACAAAACCACTTTATTGAAAAAAGCAGAATATGTAATCTACAGTTAAATGATACATCCTGATTTTAATACATTAAATAACTTTAGACTTTTTTCATGTTTAGATAAATAAATCTAGTCTCCTTTTAAAAAAAAATGAACCATCTAGGTAATCAATACACTTAGCAATACAAAAGACGTGACAGGTGTCGTGGTGTGCTTCGATGCCACTAACAGTAAGAAAGACGTGTTCTCCGTCCAAGTGATTTCTGTCAGAAAAATAACATTACAAAACTAACTTCTTTATGCATCAGGAACACTCACTTTGAAACGTGAATTACAGTAAGACATCTTTCAAGGGGATAGCATCCGTTCTTGTTACGTTCCTTTATTTGTGGGCAATGATTTTGTGAAGAATATCTTTAAAAATGCCTCGTTCTTCAAGTATAGCGCACATTATTTGATCCTTACACGTTGAAAAACAGGAGGAATGTCTCACGTGCAGTTTGCAGTCCTTGTTGTTGCTTTTACAAACACCAAATATTACATTCACTTGAATTTTGTTACATCCAGTAACAATAAAAAGCACCCTCTGCCTGCGGTGACCCTTGCATTCAGTCTTTTTTGACACATTCAGTAGTTTGTTTGTTTTTTAAATTCAGAACTCTGTGCATTACAGCATGAATCAGAGCTGGGTCAGTGTCTGCAAACAATAACAGGATGGGGCAACATTGCTACAGATGTGTCAGCTCCAGGAAGTCCATATATGGTCCCTGAATCACTCAGGAATAAGGTATGTTATGGAGATACAGCATCATGTGAATTACCAGGAAGACACAGTCATCCTGTGGGTTGATGTGTTGCCCTGCAAACATAGCGAGGTGTGTTATGGCCCTGCCATAACACACACACACACACGCACACACGCACACATACACACATACTTCCAAAAGTTGCTATAATTAGCACAGATTGTTGTTTTATCTGCAAAAAATATGTAGCTCTTTTTTTTTGCTCCATGCAAGAATAATTTGAATTCTGGTTTCAAACCAATAAGGGTGTGAATAATAAAGTATAAGAATGAAAAAAATAAAATCTTTGTACCAAAATAGTCAAATGTGGATGGGAGAGAATATTCTTCCAGCATCAGTACAGCTTGTTTTTCCAGGTGTTTTTGTCCTATTTGGGTCTTCTTTTTATTGTGTGTGTGAATATATGTATACATATCTCTATATATAGATATTTATACATATACATATAGACACACAACTCACACACACAAATACATATGTGACTGCAATTGCCTGTACACACAACAAACGTGCACACAAAATCAGCAAGGATGGGTGGTGAGACCAGCAGCTCCATGATTTCAGGGTCACCCCGACCCTGCTCAACAAAGCGCGTCAGCAGGCATCATGGCAGACCACAGTGGGACACAGACATTGCTGTTAAGGCATGTGGACAAGTGGGAGTTTCCTCACAGTAATGCAACCAGGTATTTGTACGACAAAGATCAGTATGTAGATAACAAACCAGGAAACCGACACGGTCTGAGCACACACCTAGAGAAAAATGTACATTTAGACAAACATGCAATTTGTTTTATTCTGCTTCAAGTAAACTTCTAGGGAAAACAGAAATTTACCAGAAATTAAAGGTTTTAATATGCTGCCAACACAGCAACGTCCTAGCATTATAGGAAGCTAAAACTAAAAAGTTCATTAATATGTTTATCAAGTAAAGATTTTTCATTCTTAGGTTGAATTCTTCATTTAAAATTTAGGTATAATGGTGAAACATGTCACAAAGAGGACATTGGTTTAAAACTCATTAATTTATCGCCAAATGAGGAGTCACTGAGTGTGTAAAGTAGAATAAAACCATTGCATGCAACAACTGGAGCCAGGTCTGCTCCCACAGACCTCGTGGGTCTGACGTGAACAGATCCCGTGTGGAGGAGCAATACAACAGACCCAAAAAAGCTGCAGAGGCTTCACACAGCTGCACTTCTGTTTCTATCACGACGAGCACAAACACGTAAAAATAATATAAAATAACAAAAAAAATACAATCTACAACTAGGCTCTTATGTGGAAAAACTTCTGCAAAATATATATTCGTATATAAAAGACAACCTATGTGCATCTAAAAAGTTTTATTTTCGTTTATAATGGAAACATTAATTAAGACACTGCTTGTGAATCTCTGAAGGTGTCGTCTTGACGTCTAAGTGGAATGTCAGTCAGTCTGGGCTCGTAGTGCTACGGTGCATTTGTTCTGTCGACATAGTTCAGGGTGACGAGTCGGTTCCTGGAATGACCCTCCGTGTCATGGTGCCGGGCGTCCTTTTGCATAGCCGTTAGCAGTCTATTTCAGTGTTACAAGCTGCACAGAGTGAACCCGCTCTGAAGGCACTGTCCGTCCGGTCCAGCCAGCACTGGAATGTGTAGCGACTTGCTCCCTGGCCATCCTGACACCAGCACAGCAGCGTTCTCTGCCGTGACGGCGCTGATGCTTTTGCTGTGGTGAACCGCTTCAGTCAGAGCGCACGAGTGAAAAACACCGCGAAGAAGACAGGCGAGAACGGAGCGTGGTTCCGACTCTAGAAACGTTCTCTTAAATGAACGAAGAGGTCGGAAGGTGTGCCAACGCCAGGGGCCCCTTGGTGGGCACCAAAAGGGGGAAGGAAAAAGTGCAGGGGGGCCCTTTTCCCCCTGTGACAGCAGGGCTTGTGGTTGGAGCTGCAGTGTAGATCCATAACCTCACTGTCCATCTAAGGACCAGGGTTCATGTTTATTTGTGCCCAATGCCAGCATTCTGGATCACCTGGGAGGCAGAGACAAGTCTCCCCTCCACTTCCTACAGTTCAGTCACATGAAGAGGGTAGCTTGGCGGTGGGTGGGCAGGGACCTTGGACTGAAGCCGGTGGATGTGGCAGCCGTGGCACAGAAGGTGGCCTTCTAGTGGGTAACAGCGGTGACCTTCCTCATCGTTCAGCTGAAGGCCACAATCCTGGCATGAGAGAAACAAAGAAACCATCAGTACAGTCATCCAGATGTTGCTCTGCTTTCAAAATACAAAGTAAATTCAAAGGAATATTTGGACTTTTAGTGATACTTTATCACATAAAAACAAATACTGATGAATCAATGATAAGATTAATAGGTGACTGAGCTTTTGGCTCATGTAATGGACCACTTATTTATTTATTTACCAGTATGTACTTTGGTCATTTGAACAGGGCCTAAACACTGTATGAGTTCATCTTCTGAGTTCAGAAGTGCAGAGGGACCCCTCAGAGAAGACAAGGATTGAGCCCTTTGTCCACGTTTCTCATGCATTTATGAATATAGTAGTCACTGGCTACTTCGCAGTTTGACTTTGCGGACTCGCTCTTTTGCAGTATTTCAAAGTAAGATTGTATGTGACACATGATTGTCAACTTTAATATTATTCAGGTGATTGGGACAGTACAGGATACAGTAAAAAGTTAAATGAAAAAAAAACTTCGGACAGGTTTTGCCATTTTGTAGTTTTTTCTCAAAAAGCTTACTCTGTATCGCCAGCCAAAAGGACTACATTACCCAGAAGGCAACAGTGCTTCCAGCCATTGCTTTCTGCTGAAATGGAGGGAAAGTTTTGATCCGATACGAAAAAGTTTGGTTCTTATAATAATAATAATAATAAATTTCATCACAATGTCATCACTGTATGTTTCCATACAATGGCGAAATTAGTCTCTGCATTTAACCCATCCACCACCAGGTGGTGCAGTGGGCAGCTATTGAAAGCGCTGGGGGGCATTTTGGGGATGAGGTGTGCTGTCCAGAGACACCACAAGGTATGCAGTGACCGGTGATCAAACCTTGGACTTTCGGGTCCCGGGCCAGCTGCCCTGCCTCTATAGTGACTTTGGTGCTCAGTGGATGCATAGCCGTATGGAACTGACCAGGAACTGGACCAGAACCAGACTTCCAGCCTCATTGGTCAATCTGAGTGCTACTCGCCGGCCCATGAGGCCTCTTGAGCGAGGAGGCATCGCTCGGAGGTCTGGTGTTTTCTACAGAGCTTTTTTCATCTGGATTTGGACTCGATCGGGACCATTGTGTGGTTTCGTGCTGGATAACTGAAGGTCCGGCTCTCTCTAAAAGCATCTTGGTGCTCAAGCGCTGCAGAGAGCCGATCAGAACCGGACCAGAACCAGACTTCCAGCTGGCTAGTACCCATATAAAATTTTGCAGTACGTAGGTACTGTGCAGTACATATATGTATGTTGTTAAAATGACATAGGTTTAAGAGTTTAGAACATTGCAAGAGTGTGGGAAGGGCTAATAGAGCCTTAAAATATGTACCGGTATACAAATACTAAAATAAATATAACGTTCCTACTTTGTGGTTTTTCACGTATTGCAGGGGGTCTGGAACGTAACTCCCGCGATAAAGGAGGGACTCAGACTACTGTAAACCTACTAAGGAGTTCTGTACACAGAAGGCAGTAAAAGAAAACAAAAAGGTCCCAGGTCAGTTTACATAAGGCTGCTGACCAATGAGGGTTTACAGCTGCACCAACAAGAAAAGGTATGAATCATAAATATATTTTCACTTTTTATGCGCGTGAATCCTTCTGTTCCCTGTGCTCAAATACACCAACAGTGTCTTACAGTCACAGAAAACATTTCCCCCTGTAACGTCATAAATTCAACACCTTGAGAATGGTTCGAAGGTGGACTTCAGCCTCTCCCTGCAGCTCTGGGTTGAATGATTACCTCCTGCTAATATAATCATCTGATCTGTGAGGTGGAATGCCAGCCATTCAGAAACATCAGCAAGTATTATCCTGCTGATAATGGTAGTAAGAGCAATCGTTCTCACAGTTCAGAAAAAAAAAAGATCTTCTCAGAGCAGCAATAAATTGGTTAGAAACGATTTGGTTTAGTCATAAATAAATTACAAACTGTTGAGAAGAGGGGTTTCACAACATGCCCCCAGCTGAGATTAGAGCACAGCAAATGTGCTTTTGTCAATGAGTCACTGTGTTGAGCTGTAACCTTGGGTTGGTTTCAGTCTGTATTTTTTGTCTGTGTGCAAGTGTGTGTGCTTGGTTTTGTTACTTTTTAGGACATTTTCTGGTCTAAGCACCTACCTAGTCAGGACCAGTAATTCTTTTGGGGACCAAAGACCAACCCTAATATGGCAGAACACCACTTTTGGGTTAGGTTTAGGGTACGGGTCAGAGTTAGACTACAGAAATAACTGGAAATGAATGGAAGTCAATGCACAGTGCTAACAGGGATAGAAATACATCCCCAAAGAGTGATGATTCACTCGTTCATACAAAAGTCTGCCCTTGTGCCACAATTTGCAGGGCTTAGACACGAACAAAGGGTTTCTGAGACAGAAAGGATGTGTACCGTGTGTGTGTGTGTGTGTGTGTGTGTGTGTATGTGCAATCAGGTGTGGTGATGTTTCATTCATTTCAACAGCCAAAAAAACCTGAATCATGAGCAGAAAAATCCCCTCTAGTCAAAACACTTGTAGTGCAGACAACTTTTTATCATGCCAAGAGTGTGACTGAGTGTGTGAGAGTGGACAAAGTGCTTACAGTAAGGCAAGGTGTGTGTGTGTGAGAGGTGTCTCACCTCACAGTGGTAGCACTCCACATGATAGTCCTTGTCCATAGAAACAACTCGGATAGTCTCCTCAGAGCCCTGAAAGAACAAACTGTTAGATTTCATCGCTTCACATCAGTTAAGTGTGTTTGTTTGCCTGCAGTGTTAGCAAAATATCTCATGAACAGATTTGACAGAAACTCATCACTGGATGGACATATACAACTAAATAATTAACTTTCAAGGAGACAACCCTACCTAAGATGGTTGCTTCAGCTAAACAACCTTTACAAACACATAAATGGCTAAAACTCTATCAGTTTTACAAATACCGAGCTAAATGTTTGGTGTGGTAGTAGCTGAGCATTATCCGCAACACAGACGTCAAATGCGAACAGATCACGCAAGATCCCACGATATTGCATGAGAAACTCTGAAAGGTTTGGGTGATATGCACGCCTTCTAGAAATGCTTGGCATTTCTTTAAATTGATGGTTTGTTCTTCGACAATCCGGTCTCAGGTTTGAATCCCGCAGCTGCCATGAGTCCGAAAGTGGAACGTCAGTAAAACCTGTCTCCACAGCGGCTGTGTCCAGTAGCGGGACGTTAAGTGAGTCGACCTGTTAGGTCAGTGCAAAAAGACAATTGCCTTCAAAACCTCCCGGCTCGTTTCAGAAGTTTGTTTAGTGTTTTTGTCTGTTAATTTTTGTGACGTGCTGTCCAGTCAGCTTTGGCTGAATCTAAACAGTCAGTATAATCTTGTATAGCAGACAAACTTCTTCCATCTTCTACCACACCATCACTGAACAGAATGTTATTTATTTTACTGTCACACATCATACTAAGTCTCCTCTATATATTATTCCCTTGCAGATTAATGTTTAAAGAATGGAACAGCTCAGTATTTCCAAAGATTTTTTTTAAAATCAAAGTCTAATCTGATTCTGAATCTGAATTGTGTTAACGTTTAAAAAGGGCTGGACGATATGGCCAAAACTTTTATCACGATACATTTCTTAATTTCGGCCGATAACGATATAATTCGATATCGATATAAACAATATAAAAACCTCAGAAAAACTGTACAAATAAATTAATGTTCACCGTTTATTTGTATTTAGCCTTAAAATTTTTTGAAATCACCACCAAATAAATATAAAACTCTCAACTTTGTCAATATTAATAGTTTTAACTTTAAACAACAACATAACCCAAAGTTTCTCTTTTGATACAGCTGGGGGTGTTGTTCCAGGGACATGTTGGCTCAAACTTTATTGTGCTTCATCTTCTGACTCTCAGCATATTCTATCTAGTGGAAACTCTTCAGATGAAACAAGTTAGATGTGCTCCCACTGCTTGTTGGAACGACTCTCCGTCACATTTTGCAGCACACTGAAACCTGCAGTTTATCAGATCTTAAGATAACCGAACCACTTCCACACCGACAAATTAGTCTTTCCTCTCTTATCAATTATGTCATCTGCTTTCTCTTCGCTTGTGAAAGCTTGTTCAGTCACATTCTGACGATCATGGGCACTCATTTTGAAGCAAAAACAACGCGTATTGTAGATGATCCTTGCCTAGCCTGCTACTGCTAATGCACATCTACGTCACCATGCACAACGTAGTTGTGTTGCACCTTTTTCTGTCCAGGTTGAAACTTAACCGGCCGCTTCAACCCAAACAGAAAAATAAATGTGTCAGTGAAACGCTGTAATCATATCAAAATATCTAAAATGTGCTAAAAACTCATATCACTATTACTGAATAAAAGTACATTGTGATATATATTGATATCGAATTATCATCCAGCCCTATGTTTAAACATGGCAAGTGCTTAAAAACCTCTGAACACTACAATGCTACAGCTTGACTTATAAAAGCCCCAAAATACATTATACACAACTAATGGGCTTTAAAAACAAGTTTTAGGGAATTATGTTTAGTTAGTTTTTCCCCAAAATATGAATAAAAAATAAGCACGAAACAGACATTTATGCTCATGTTGCTGTTTACCTGGGCTGGAAGGATGGGCTGGTTGCAGGAGGCACACTTGGGAGCAAAAACCCTTTAATGGAAGATAACATAACTATAAGCAAACACTTGTCTCTTACTTGAGACCAACATTCCTCACAAGGAACCAGTTTGATAACGAATCAAACAAACAAAACTGACAGCACCAATCGTTAAGGAGATATGTACATTTCCTGACAGAGCACCTAGTTTCCTTTTAATAACGGGAACAAACAGAGACGATTGTCTTACGTGTGGTAGTCTTTGACACAGTAGATGTTGTTTTCAACGTCCACGGTGAAAGGCACTCCGTCTAAACCGTCTTTACACACTACACAGCGGAAACAACCAGGATGGTAGGACTTGCCTAGCGCCTGGAGGATCTATACACGCCAAACAAAAACCAAAGAAAAAAAACACTTAAAGAAAACACTGAAACATAAGAGTGAGGCAAAAATCATATAGTAGCAATAATGAAGGCCATCTTCTGAGGACAACTGGCTGCTGGAGACACTTCTCACCATCTCCATGATGAGATGACCGCATACAAAGCACTTCTCGGCCGTCTGCTGGAAACCAGAGTACTGTGGGGGGAGAGCAGACAGGATTTATTTTTTCTCATCAATTACTTTTTTTGTGTGGATTTTATGCATCTGGCAGAACTATTAGTACTACGCAGATTCTGACAGGAGAAATATTTCCATTTGGGAGTCATCTATAGAGGGTGCTGCTGCACTCTGCACATCAACACAAGGATTCATTGACTATCAGCGGTCCTGTACTTTGATGTAGCGAGGAGCTGCTTTAATTTTTTACTTGTCCTCAAAGGCGAAGCGTCATTCATTTTGCTTGTGTCTGTGTGCACATGCTTGTTCGTTTGTAGCGTTGGCAAAATATCTCATAAATTAATAGAGGGAGTTTAGCCAGTTGAAGAAGATGGCCACTTGTCCTGAGCTTCTTCTGCTGAAGGTTTCTTCCTGTTATGAGAGAGTTTTTCCTTTCCTCTGTTGCCCTGTGCTTGCTCAGGATGGGAGACTGATACAAAATGAAGACTCACTGCAATCTGCTGACTACCCTACCTTAGATAAATAATGTTACTAATTTAATTTTTATGTATGTGAATGTTTCTGTTCAGTGCCCTGAGACGACTTCTGCTGTGACTTGGCTCTATATAAATAAACTGAATTGAATAAAACTATCTGAAAGTAAGCTTTGGATGTACATCTAAAATTGAATAACTTTTAGAGTTAACCTAATTTAAAATGGCTGTAATAGTTAGGTGACTTTATCAAGCACAAAAAAGCTTTAACTTTACAGATATTGAGCTCAAGTTTGGTGTGGTAGAAGCCTATCATCGTCACAAACACGTACCTTAAATGCAACGTATTGCACCTCATCTTTGCTTAAAACTTGATACGATATGAACATCTGCATCTCATTCACCTTTTAAGTCAATCCAATTCAACCGTAGCAATCCCAAAATTGGATACCGTATTTTCAGACTATAAGGCGCATTAAGCGAAACAAAAACATTTTGACAAATTTTTGAGTGCTGTGTACCACATAAAATTGGTTCGAGGTCAGTAAGCACAACCGGAATTAACACATAGGTGCACCAGATTTTAGGGGTCACTTGATTTTTGAGAAAAACTAAAGGATTTTAAGTGTGCCTTGTAGTCCGAAAACTACGGTATATCTTGGTCAATTTGACAGATATTGAGCTAAAATTTAGTGTGGTAGTAGCTGAGAGTCATCCCCAGCACATACCTCAAATGCCAACACATCTGAAAATATAGCTTGTGATTTTCTACGAGTTTATGCATAAAATCATTTACAAGGTTTGACGCAAACAGCTATAACTCAATCCCGTCTCTGATCCCAGTGTTTAATTCAGATGAAGTTGTTTTCAGTTGAATTCAGTCGACTCCTCTCTTTTCCACTCAGAGCTCAGGCAGATAGTAAAGGTGCCCATCTGTGACGCACATCCCCCCTCGGGTCATGACCTAATGACACGGAGGGTCTGGTGGAGGGAGGAGACATAGCTACCAGGTGGAGGTGGTGATGGGGCACTTGCACCATGGCCCCATGACACCACTCCAAATCAACCATCTGCCATTGCTGACCCCACTCTTTCTCCCTCCCCAGGATGACAGTGAAGACTAGTCAAGCCTGAGCTGCAGGAGGGATAGGAAGGAGATTAGACTCATCCTGTTGACTGGCCTCCTGCATCAGAGGCAGAAATGGCAAAAACAGGAATTTTAACGCTTCCTAAGAGATCAACAAGTTGAACTCCTGGTGGAAGCTGCCCGTAAACAGGAAGTACAGTCAGCAGATGAGAGCGTGCATTACGGGTTCATCGAGATCATGAAGCAGGAACCAGTGTGAGCTCCTTCCTCTGTACTCCAATTTATTTCCTGCAGCAACGCCATAATGGGTTTAGAGACTTTGACTCGTTTGCGACTACATTAAATCTCTAGGTTTTCTGAGCCGGGTCAGACACCGTGAGACCAAGCTGAGTGAAGCAGATGGACCGGGAGCCTGAGAGCTGCAGCTGTCCGACACCCCTCTTGCATCTCAAAGAGCTCCTAGGGCGAATGAGCTCCCTGGGGAAATCTGGTGGTCTGAACAGTGGGAGTGGCACTGGACTCTTGATGGTAGTAACAGGGCTTGTAGAAATTGTGCTCCATTTGCACCTCCTGTCACATGAAGCACTGCGACCTCCTGAGAATAAAACCATGTTTATACAGGTGACTTACCAGGAAGTCTTCCTCGCAGTAGACCTTTCCATTCACATTGTAGAACGCCTTCCCTCGCAGCCTCCTCCCTAAAAGAAGAGATGACAAATAAAAACTTTTGAGTGTGAATCTGGTTTAACCTATCAACTTTATATTCCTTCTGCAAATCTATATGTGAGTTTTGATGCATTCTCAATAACACAGGTGGAAAATTAAGTCAGGTAATCTGGACAGATTCTTCTTTTTTGAAATGTTTCATCTTTTATCTAAAAAACTTCAGTCTGAGACCCTACAGCAGACTCAGTCATAAATAGCACCTTATCATAGTGGAACAACCAGTTTGCTGTTGACAGTCAGAACTACTGTAGCTGTTCACATGTAAAAGGAGGACCATCACAATGACAATGAATGACCATGGATGATCAATGACCATCACCATCACATAACAATGGATTGTTAATTCAATTCAATTCAGACGTTTATTGAGACGTTAATTTTCTAAACGTAACTGCCCAATGGCTTTCAAACCCCAAAATACATTATGGCAAAGAATGGTCCATCCATCCCAAAGCTCTAGTCCCTCGGCACAAACAGAGTATGGTTCGGTGCCAGGAGGACTGTGATCAGTCATACATTGGGGAAACTAAACAGCCACTGGCCTAAAGGATGGCCCAGCACAGAAGAGCTACATCATCAGGCCAGGACTCTGTGGTCTTCACTCATCTTCAGGGATGAAGATGTTCACACATCCTTGATAGAGAAGAATGATGGTTTGAGAGAGGAGTGAAGGAAGCCATCTATGTGAAGAGAAACCGTCCATCATTAAACAGGGGCAGAGGCCTCCATGTTCAATTGTCCCCCTCTTACAATGATGTTATTGCTAGTATCATACAGCAGGCCAACTTATCAAATTTCTTCTGGGATATGTGTAAACTAAGAAAGGCTCCGCTCTAGCCACACACCCCGCCTCTGAGAACGCCTGTGAAGGCTTATCAGAGCTGTACCGGCTGACACCAACATCTTATCAGGAATATGGCGCTATCTGGAAGTGCTTCATGGACAAATCTCACCATCTTGTCATCAAATGCATATGTAATGTGTATAAATGTGCTTGCTGGTAGAGTTCTTTGATGTCTTAAACCGTGTCCTGATAAGGACAAGGTGAGATCTTTTTTGTAATACCACTATCCTTTCCTCATGGCCTTTCCCCTTTACTATCTAAAGAATTAGAGGCCGCGCTCTTAGGAGCAGCAGCAAGGTGCACTCCACCCATCTTTCGGACGACTGTACGAACACAATCTCACTGTACTGTACTACGGTGCAATGATAATAAAGCTTATTCTGATTCTGATCACTCAGCCCTCTGTGAATAGCAAGCACCCATCAGGGCACTATTGATCAGTCGTTAGGCTGAAGGTCCTCCTTCTTCATGTGAACAACTATTTTTGGCCGTCACCAGCAAACTGTTCATCCACTATGAGAAGGGGCTACTTATAAGACTGAGTTTGATGCAGCTCCTCAGATTGACAACGTCATTTGAATAAAAGACGAAACGTTTCAATTTTTTTTTGAATCCATCCAGAGGACCTGACTTAACTTTATTAGATCAGTTCGATTCAGTTTATTTATATAGTGCCAAGTCACAACTGACATCGTAGGGCACTGAACAGAAACATTCATATATATATAAATATATATATATATAAAAAGCAAGTTAATAACATCATTTATCTGAGGAGCAGACTGCTTTGAGTCTAACTTGGTCGCAGAATCTCATCGTTAGAGCCCCAATAATTGGTCGTTAGTGCCCTGATGGTCGCTTGCTATTCACAGGGGGCTGAGTGATGCTTGCAATAACATCATTGTAACTGTGTTGTAATTGTAATTGTAATAAAAGTGGTGTGTTGAATAAAGTGTCACAGGGTGAATAAAGGGAACAGAAGAGAGGAAATGGAGGAGAAGCAGCTAGGGGAAGTTGTTACTGATAAACTGAGCAGTTGGTTATTAATTTACCTTTAGCAGCGCCTCTCTTGTGAGTACAGTCACTGAACCACTGAGCTTCTGGCATAAACACTGAATATTAACGGGAACATTCAGACACATTTTACAGAAACGGTTTCTGTCTCCTTTAACAAAACAAACTGATGGAAAAACGTCCCATTAGACAATACACATAAAAAACAAAAACTAATTAAAGTCAATCTTTGACCTTCTAATTTTAGGGCTTTGAACGAAGTTTAAAAAATGCCACAAAGTTGTTTTCTTTTACGGTTTAGCGGACGTCACATTTTTACGTGTACAATTACAGTTGCAAATTCTATTTAAATTTTATTTTTATTTTTTTGGGGGGTGGGGGGGTGGGAGAAGAAGATGCCATGAGGATGTGCTTTGGGAGTGGCATTATAATGGAATATTCATTTATTTTTGCAAACTTTGTGAGCCTCTAAACATTGAGAAAATACTTATATGACACTATCAAAACACCTAGCAAAATGTATTAAATATTAAGTAGACAGAAGCTCATTGTTCCTAATCTATTTTGCATCACAGACCAACTTCAATGTCATTAGTGTGCAAAGGAAGTTAGAAACACATTTGCCATTACTTCCCTGTGTGTTAAAATAACACAGTTGTTTACGAGATAGGAACAAGTATGATAGCCAAAAGCTTTGTGTGTTTGTGTTGATTTTAAACTTTTTTGTGCTATTAAAACAATCACCAAGCCGCATCGAACACATCAGCTAACACGAGGTCTTCATCTGGTAACCTGAGGTGTGTCACCATACATCCTACATGTAATTTGCTGTGAGTGTGTGTGAGTTTATTTCAGTAAAATACCTCATGAACCACTGGATGAATTTTAATACAATTATCAGAAAATCCAACAAAGTTCAGTCCGGTCCTCTGGACAGCCTCTTTTTTTTGTTGAAACATTTCGTGCTTCATCCAAAGGACTTCATCAGTCAGAGAAGCCACAACAACCTCAGTCTCACAAGCAGCACACTCACATAGTGGGACAACCAGTTTGATGGTGATAAGATGGTTTCTGGAGCCCACCCTCTCCCCCATCGATTCCTCTGAGGCAGCCATAGCCAAAGTGGTTCAAAACATCAAAGTTCATGCTCAATAATCCAGGTAAAAAAAAAACAACAAAGTTAAGTCATCTCCTCTGGACGGTTTCTTTTATTGTTGGAACGTTTCGTTCTTCATCCTCCAAAGGGCTTCATCAGTCCGAGGAGCCACAACAAACGCAGTCCCACAAGCAGCACACTAACATAGTGGGACAACCAGTTTTGATAGTGATAAGGATAATTATCAGGACATTTTTCTACAAATATTCAACTTAATTCAAGATGGCAGCCACAACTAATAAACCTTAGAATAAATAAATAAAAACGGCAACAATGCAGTCAGTTTTCCTGATTTTGAGCTGAGTGGTAGTAGCTGAGAGTCATCCCCCACACAAACTCCCATGCAACACATACTGCAAACGTTACAGATAAGATTATCCAACTTTAAAACTCTGTCAGAAAAAGTGGTGAGCGATTTGCATTCGTTCAAGTAATGCCAAGCGCTTAGTTAAAATACTGAAATGATTTATTGCCTTTAAGTCACATGGCTTTTATTGCACAATTTAACTTCATAAAAAAACAAAATCAGCCTTCATTAACTAGAAAATATGCTCAAAATACAGTAGTTGTAGTCCGACAACACAAACACTTCTCACGCAAACGAGCCCAGGTTCAACACAACTGGGCTCCAAACACATACACTGAATTCCTCTGACGAAGCTTTCATTCACCCCAATCCAAGTTTGAATCCAATCTGAAAAGAAAATTCGGCTGTGGGCTGCCTTCTGGAGCCCCCTGCCATGCCATCTCACACAGCTCGCCCATTCAAATTCATTTAACAGCAACCACGTCTCTCTGGCAGCGCGATGACTTCACCCAGAATCCTGGCAGACGAAACCCACGGATCTCATAAATCTGCTGGATTAGTCAGATTTAATTGTCATCCCTAGCCACCGCTGATTGTTTTGGTCTCCCAGCACGGACACCCCCCACCCCCACCACCACAGCCCCCCTCGCCTTATAGTAGTTTGTTTTTTTCCCAAACCAAAGGAATTTATGCAATCGCTGTATTTCAAACTCAGTGACACAACGTTGAGAAATGGCACGACACAAAGAGCCGCCTAAATGGCAGGAGCAGCAGAGGAATGCTGTCCACACAATAGGTGAGACGTTTAAGACTTCTGGACTGAGGAGCAATTAGCTTCTTGGTGCCGAGCAGCAAAAAGAAAAGCAGGATTAAGGAGGAACACAAGCTGAAGCAACTCTTGGGAGACGGTCTTGGACGGTGACTCGGCTCGAGGGAACACGGTGGAGGTGCTGGTCTCTGCTCTGCACTTTGAGGTCTGGAAGGTGAACACAAAGGCCTCAGTGCTGATGTCTGTGTGGAGCGCTGCTAGGGGAGCGGGCCAACTGAGCAAACGGGGACATTCCTTCTGTCTGAGGTCACTAGCTGGTCCCATTCATCCCCCCCCACACCCCACCCACCCGCACCTCTTCAGCACCCGCTCCCTGCCCGCTTCGCTTACTGAGAAAAGGAGGGGGAGGGCTCCATGCCTTCTTCCACCCCCCCTCAACTTCACCCTCTGGCCTTTTGTCACCAGACAGCCCTGCATCGAGGCTGATCATCCTCACAGAGCTCTGGTTTATGAGGTGGAATTTATCTGGAGTTTAGGAGGGCTTCAATTTAAAAACTAAAATCTCTTCAACGCTGCAATTAATTTCAATTTATGATCCAAGCACAAAACAACGACTGGATCATTACTGAGAACAGACTTTTATTTGAGTCCAGTTATATACAATGATAAATGATCAAACTTACGGCAATTTGGTTTCTTCAACATTTAAGTCGTCATCTTCTCTAAAAACGACCCATTTTGATGAACGATTGTTCTGTGTGACCACACGGGTCAAAATGTTTTGTACAGAACACTGCTGCCCTGGCCTTGGCTGTTCTTAACGATGGTCTGGTCATTTAGTGCTGCTGCACTCTGGACGAGGTTGTTGCCATGGAAATACCC